CGTAAACACGGCGGTCTTATTCTTCACATCCTGGTGGCTGTGTTCACCTTTATCGGACTCGCCATCGTCTGTGATGAATACTTTGTCTGCAGCTTGGATAGGATCTGTGAAGGTTGGTTCAACATTATGCAAATACTAGTTTATACTAGCTGTGGTCCCCGATTTTATCTGCGTGGAATTAAATAGTACATTTAGTGCGTTGGAGTATTCTATCTTGGCCTCAAAGTGATATGTTGTGTAGTTTTCTTCTCTTGCCCCAAATAATAATTAAATCTATCCAATGGCATACACAACAAAATTAATAAGTCAATGATTTGCAAAGTTTTCTCTTGTTAACTTTTAATTAACTAAAAATGATTTTACAGCGTCGTATATTAAAGTTCTACGTCTAACAATGGACTGAGCATTGTCGTTATATAGATAATTTAGTTATAAGAAATTCAAAATGAATTTACAGAACTGAAGCTGGCGCCTGACGTGGCTGGTGCAACTTTCATGGCCGCCGGTAGCTCCGCTCCTGAACTTGCAACTGTTGTTATTGGAGTGTTTTGCGCACAGGATGATATTGGTATGATTGGACGCAAATAAAATTGAACTTTATAACATAGCAACAAGGTTTAGTTTTACTTTGCACTTCTAATCAAGAAGCTAAGAGGGAGCGTTAGATGTGTTAAATAAAATTAAACCTTATTTCAATAGTATAAAACTCTGTCTTCTGTTTCGGTCTTTGTGAATGTACTCTGTTATTGTTTGTGTAGGTGTGTCTGGTGTGATCGGGTCAGCGGTGTTCAACATAATGTTTGTTATCTCCGTGTGTGCTCTGTGCGCCGGGACCGTGAGCCATCTCAACTGGTGGCCTCTCTGCCGCGACTGTTTCTTCTATGCCCTCTCTATACTTGTTATGCTCTGTACTATCGCAAATAAATACGTCTCCTGGTAAGAATTACTTTTTATTAGTATTGTGCTGCGTTGATGGCTCAGGGGTCAAGCACTTGACTTGCAATCTGCAGGTTCTGGGTTCGAATCCCGCCATGTACCAATGTGTTTTTCGATTTTCGATTTACATATGTATATTTAGCCGACGTTCTTACGGTGAAGG